GATATTTTCCTAGGGGTTGTTACGCGTTATTAGCAAGACGTCACGAATGTCATATGTCAAACAACATAATCAAGAAATTTAATTGGCTTTATCGTTTACATGGATTTTGGAGAGATTACTAATATTTCTTGAAAAGCTATTTAAATATTTATACTTTGAAGTTGAGTCATTAATTTTCAGATAATGATTGTAGAAGGAAGATAAACCAAAATATGCGTGTAAAAATAAAAAAAAATAAAAAAAAATTTTACCTTGTTTTATAAAGTATCCTTCCGACAAGTATTTCAGTGCGGACCTGTATTTGATCGTGCGGTCTTGGAGCACCAGCATACCTTCCGCTGTGAAGTCTTAAGTCACCTGATTCACGAGCCCTTTGTACTACATTAACAAAGGCACGAGGGGTTGGTTGCACTCGATTGGGAAACCGATCCACATAAATCCGTGATGCCGCGTAAATGAGAAGCATGTCCACAAGTTCAGCATTTTCGTAAACATGTGCCATTTTTGATTTTGTTTGAGCCACGCAACATACACCACTATTCACTCACGCGTTACCGACTGACACTGACTGTATACAACTGAATAAAATAATTGTAAAAACATCGTTCCAAATTCTTTTTTGTTTCCGATGCGATGAACCGATAAGGCGGATTATATCCGTTGTTGCCAAACACGAGCACATAATATTATTATTGAGACAGGGCGGTACTCAAACTTCCAAAGGGCTATAACTTTGTTATTTTAATTTTACCAGAAAAATGGTAAAGGGCAAAAACATTTCTTTTGATCAGATCTACTCACTGTTAAAATAAATGACTCAACTTCGAAGTCACCCTGTATACACGGTGGCGTATCGAAGATGAAACAGACGCATTTACTGGCAGTTCAGTTTTTTTTTGAAAAACGCTCAGACCCGTCGTTTTTTTTTTTTCGAGGGGGACACAAGTCTGGCAAAGAATCACGTTAGCACGTGCAGCCCCCTAAGCGGGGGTGACACCACCCCCAAAAATCTTAAATGGAAAGGGGGGTCGAATGATACGTACCTATTAAAGTCTACTTTAAGCTTTAAATCAATAAATCTTCAAACCTACTGAACTGAAGCTTATTTATTTTACATCATTATAAAGGGAATTGAAAGACCTTTAAAATAAAGTATCACTCGACCCCCTTTCCATTTAAGGTTTTAGGGCTGGTATTACCCCCGCCCACGTGATTCTTTGCCAAACTTGTGTCCCCCTCGAAAACAAAATCGACGAGTCTGATCGTTTTTCCAAAAAAAAACTCAGCTGCCGGTAAATGCGTCTGTTTCGTTTTCTATGCGCCACCCTGTATAGTATTGCTAAAACTCAATGTTATTGATAACCCCTAAATCCTAAACGTCACAGCGACACGAATCCCACCAAACGCATAGGACTCAAGTTGGCGTTGATAGAACCTAATTTTTGACAGATTGTCGACTCTGTATAAGACTCTGTGGTAAAGGTAATGAAGTTCGGATACATGAAAGTCAGTATCACAAATACCACACCAATGAAACACAGAGTGTACAGTCCAGATAACTGAATCTTAATGGTTGATTTGATAGCTGAACGTCGCATGACGAGTTTACTGGTTTGCAAGTAATCATGCGTGTTAATGTGACTGCTAACTGCTCGTGAAGCACGATTCAACATCGATGTCCTTCCTCTGGGTATATCAATCGAATATTTCGAATGAAGGCATACGAGGATAATTAGGCTGCAGATTTTTTGAATATCTGTTGCATTATCCTGGAAAAGGGTAAAACCTAGTTGGGGATTATGGGTCCAATTTTTAGTTTGAACACAGTACATGGGATTTTGTGAAGTTTACCTCTTTCTAAGTGTCGTTGCAACTTGACTTGCTTCATCAATTGAAAAGATTAAAGCTAGTCATACAGCACTATACAAGTGCAACAGCATAACATCCTTTCTTCAAAACTTAACAAAACCCATTGTATGATTCAGAACATTATATTTGTTCTTATAATATATGCCTATAATCTTATTTTATGTGGTCTTGACGATCAGGTGACATCCTCCATTTTCCATTCATTGAGTAAACCGATTTCTGGCGTTTGCCAGCATAGCAAGCATTACTCTGGCAATTTCTTCCTGGATGTTGATCTTCGAATCTCGTGGGGTCGTTGAACGGTGAATAATCACAAAGAACCAAATCGGGAGATCGGGCCGGCGACTCCAAATTTTTTGTTCCCTATGGATGCTCTTGACGTGTGTGCCACTGCCACTGTTGGAACCAAATGTCCCCCAAGTTCATCCTATCTGGCCGTGGAAAAAAATTCCTGTAACATCTTTATACCATATACCGGTCCGAATTCAGTCTCACTGCGAGTCCATTTTCTTCAAAGAATCAGAGACTGAAACTTCCAGCTGAGGAAATTGCACACCGCACTATGGTTTTAGGTGAATGCTAAGGCTTTTGATGCAATTCTTGAGGATTGGTGTTAGCCCAGTAACGCATGTTTTGTTTGTTGACGGTCAACACCAATGAAAATGAGCTTCATGATTGGAAAAAAACAATAGCGTCTTCAGGAACGACTTCGAGAAGACGCTCAAATGCGTCTATCCGAGAATTGAAGTCGCCTTCAGAAGTTTCTGTACAATTGCCATCCTGTAAGGATGGAAATGAAGGCCATCATGGAGAATTCTTCTCACGGGGCGATTCCGAAAAGCGTGCTGGGTTGCGATCACCGAGCGTCCTCCCAAAAGGTCAACGACGAAGGGGCGCTCCTCGGCGTTCCAACGCATGATGGCGACCGAACTGTGTCAGGACAAATTTTTATAGTCCCCACTCTCGCATAAGACCATGTCAACCGACTGCAAAGCGCCTGTCCACTGTTGACCAGTTTATTTGTTCTCACAGCTTATGGACTTTCACGTGGGGGATAGTCTACATCATTGATTCCCAAAGTGGTCTATATCGACCCCTAGGGGTCTATGACAACCTGCAAGGGGTCTACGTCAGCGAAAAAAAATTTGGGGGTCCATGAAATGAATATGGGGGTCCACGATAGTGGATCTCAACACATACACTGATAGCACCTATTTACTTACATCATACTGTCTTATATTATCAAAACATATACATTATTTATAAAAGTACCTATGAAGTAAAAATTTATTATATACGTTTATAAAATTGTGTAAGTTGTAGGATGTTGGTATCCGCTTTGTGGTCGCAATACATTTTGAACTTGTAAAAACCTGAGAGTCGCTACCTTGCACTGACTTGTTCAATTCGTCACTCTATAAATACGAATGTGGGACAAATACGTTTATTCGTTTCCTGAATCTTGAAAAGGAAAGTGCTAAGAAAGTGTTTTAGAAAATATAAACAGATAGTATATCACACAAATTATAGTGAGTCAGTGTTATTTTGTTTGAGAGTGCTGGAGAAAAGTAAGTACATTATTTTTTATTCAATTTTAGTTTTTTACTCGTAGTTAGCAAAGATAGATAACGTTAATATAATTACCGTGCAATCTCCGTAATTCCAGCTAATTGTTGCAAGAAGATGTTCGAATTATGGAATGTTTTCGGAAAAATCAAAAAATATTTTTAATATAGAGCTGCTGGGTTTTCTGTCTTATTTAAATAATTTAATTCTGCCATGTCCGAATCTAAAAAGAAATGTAGACAGTACGAACAATCGCTTATGTGCCTTTTATGCAACAAAGTTTTGGGCAATGACACTATGAAACCATCTAAACTGCAAGATCATTTGAGAAGATGCCACCCTGATAAAACAGAGAAAGATTTGAAATACTTTCAAACACTCAAAGATAAATTTCAGAAGAGACCTACACTGGACAGAATGTTCGTTTCGACGTCACAAAGAAATCATGTTGGTTTGCGGGCGTCTTACAATATTTCGTTACTCATAGCAAAATCCGGAAAACCGCATACTATCGGAGAGAAGTTAATTTTTCCAGCCGTTGAAGAGGTTTCAAGAACTGTTTTACACAAACCTGCATCTGATATCATTAAAAGAATTCCCTTAAGCAACAATACTGTTGAAAGACGTACTGATGAAATGAGTTCTGATATTGAAAGCTTCTTATGTAAATTATTTGCAAACGACCCATTTCTCTATACAACTGGACGAGTCAACTTTACCTGATAATGCAGCATTATTATTGGCATATGTTCGTTTTAATATGAATCAAGAAATGTACGAAGAACTGCTCTTCGCAAGAACTTTGATAACCGACACTAAAGGTGAATCAATATTTCATGTTTTGAAGGATTACTTCATGGAAAAAGCAATTCCTTTATCAAATATAATATCAGTAGCTACAGATGGAGCACCTGCCATGGTTGGACGTTATCGTGGATTTATAAGCTATTTAAAACAAAATGTGTCAGGGGTGTTAGCAATATATTGCGTCATCCATCGACAACATTTACTTGCTAAGAATTTGAGTGTTAGATCGCATGAATCACTTCATTTAGTCATTGATGCAGTAAACCGAATCCGAAGCAACGCATTGAATACGCGGTTATTTGCGTAGTTGTGTGAAGAAAATGACGAACACTTTCATCAATTACTCCTTCACACTGAAGTACGGTGGCTGTCGAAAGGCTTATCTTTGACAAGATTTTTTGCACTTTTTGAGACTATTTTAGAATTTCTGGATACTATAGATAAAATTTTAAAAGAAAATTCAATGAAGAGGAAAACAGACATCGCCTATTTAACAGATTTGTTTAGAAAATTTATTATGGTTAATTTGCAATTACAAGGCGACAGTTTATATTTGATTAAAACAAAGTCCATCTTATCAGCGTTTCTTGCCAGAGTGAAACTAATGAAGCAAAATATTGGAATTGGAATTGGTCGAATTTTCTCAGTTCCCCAATTTGTCACAGACAAGCTGCCAGGAAGACGAAGTCTCAACTTACGTTCAACATTTAAATGCCCTCTATTCAGATTTTGAATCTAGGCTTGAGGATATTTTGACTATGGTAATACCACCGTGGATAATTAATCCATATGGTGACATAGATGAAACGAATGTCATAATACAAGAGGAACTGACTGAACTAAGTACAAACGAAGAATTTAAGGTTCAGTTTAAAAACGGATATCAGCAATTCTGGCTGCAAAACAACATACCCGTTACTTATCCCGTATTATCGAATATAGCGAGGATATTTTTAATTTCCTCTCCATCGTCGTACCTAGTGGAAAGCGGGTTCAGCGCTGTTACCAATCTACTAACGAAAAAAGAAACAGACTGGACATCATTAGCCGAGGTGATTTAAGAGTAACCCTTACAAAATTGACGCCAAATGTTGATAATTTATTATTAAAGCGTCAGGTTCATCCTTCTCACTAAAAATATTGACTTATTGCTTATGTTATTTTATTTATAGTTTATTTTATGTATATTGGTGTCTGGCCAATAAATGCCCGCATTGGGAATAAGTGTCCGCATTGATTTTTTAAAGAACCCCCCTTTATAGAAAATATATTTTTTTTAAATTATTCTGAAAATTCAAGGATAGGTACACACTAAAATTCATTAATTTTTTGCCTATTTTTAGATAACTCAAACGTATAAGAAGCGGAATTCAATCAAACTAACAGTGAAATTATTGTAGAACATACGTTTATGTTATAATTAATAAACGAAATCGCTTATTGTACTATTTTAAGTAAAACACTTTTTTTTATTATTTTTCACTGTTTTTTACTTTATCCCTCTTATTTTTTTTTTTTTTCAATGCGGGCACTTATTCCCAATGCGGGCACTTATTGGTCAGACACCTGTTTATTTAATATTACACATATTTTACATAACAGATACAAAATTTTATTTTGAGTAGTTTTAATTTAAATTCAATTAATAAATGTATAAATTAACATGTGTTTTTACTTTAAGTTTTTAACACTAAACTTCGCTACAGTTAGAAATTCACAGGAAATCAATATCAGGTAAGTAGGGGGTCCACCCAGCACAGAAAAACATGGCAAGGGGTCTACGACACAAAAAAGTTTGGCGAACTCTGGTCTACATCAATAACTCATAGATGAGGGACGTTCTCAAAGCCAGAAATTTCCATATTCTTGCTGACATACGGCTCAAATGATTCGGAATGTAATCGAAAACCTCCCGACCAAAGTCATACAACATAATCTTAGTAGTCTGATACAGTACAAATCTTCTACTCCACTTTAAGGTTTTAAAGATGCAAGAAAAACACCCATTACCCGTTACAAGCTGCCTACGAACCGTAATTTTTGAATACTCTTACATTTTTATTCCTCGAACTCAGTGTCTACTTACAAGATGGGCGGAATTCAAAGTTTGAGATTTAGGCTCAAGTTTGCAGTTTCACTTCCACGGTTCGCCGAAACATTACACGCTCCGCTGTATCAAAAGGGGGAAGCAGAACCTCTGGACTCGAATTAATTGAGGCTCTCGCATCCCCTTGACAGCTGTCAAAGGCCTAATAACCTTCATTGTACCCTACCCAGCATCAATATCTTTGCTGCTCCGCCTGAAGGGGCATCAATCCGTGACCGGCTTCAAACCACCTTCCGTTATCTTCTCTCCTTTTTAGCTACAAATCCCCATGACAGTGCAGTGGTGTAGCTTTGGCGTCAAGCAGTTAGTTCCATTTTATTTTATTCATATGTTCCTAGCAGGTAGAAGATCCAGTTACACAGAAACAGTATACAAGTGATGAAAACAGACAGACTTACAAAAACTAGTATCATATACTATGTGACATATAAATCCGAACACCCAGTTTAAATGGTTTTATTTTAATAAAATTTTGTATAAGTACTTAATGAAGCATAATAAGTAAATGATAAAAATTTCAAAATGATTGCACTGCTTTAAAGCCCTTTGACCTTTAATAATGTGTGGATGCACCCCGATGTGCTACGCATTCTCCAACGCGCCTAGACATGCTTCTGATCAGGTGGTCAATGTCCTCCTGTGGTATCTCATTCCAGGCAACCACCAACTCCTCTCGAAGTGCTTCTAGAGTCTGAGGAGGACGTTGCAAATTGAGCAATCTCTTACCCATCATATCCCACACGTGCTCAATTAGGGATAAGTCGGGAGATCTTGGTGGCCATGGCAACAATGTGACATCGTTATGTTGAAAGAAGTCTATTGTGACTCTTGCAACATGTGGTCGGGCATTATCTTGTTGGAAAGTTGGATCTGCCAGGGTGTCAAGATAGGGTAAAAGATGGGGTTCTAGAACTTCGTGGATATAACGCTGCGCGTTCATGTTACCTCTGATGAAGATTAAAGGTGACCTGCAACCATAAGCTATAGCACCCCAAACCATAACTCCAACAGTGTGATGAACATGTCTTTCAACAAAAAACTGTGGATTCCTCCTTTCACCACGTTGCCTTCTAACCCTGGCACCACCATCGTGCATGCCCAAACAAAATCGAGACTCGGCACTAAAGACAATACTGTTCCATTCCTGATCCCAGAGTGACCGTTGTCTGCACCACTCAAGGCGATTACGTCGGTGTTCTCGAGTTAAAGGGAGGACCCAGTGTGGCCGGTATGAAAACAAGCCAAAACTTCTCATCCATCGGTAAAGACTTCACATGCCAATAGGTCTTCCGTGTTCTGCAAACCATTCATTTGCAATAGACCTGGTAGTGGAGAAACGGTCCCTTAAGGCCAATAATCTTAGGCGACGATCTTCACGGTCTGTTGTTCTACGGCGGCGTCCAGTGCCCCTTGCTCTTTGCGTACGGCCTTCTCGAAGCCATGCTTGACAATTCCTAACCACAGTGTCTACACTTCTTTGCACTCTACCTGCAATTGCCGGAGATGAAAGTCCAGCTTCCCGAAGTCCCACTGTACGGCCCCTATCAAACTCACTAAGTTGACGAAATCTTCCAGGTCTCCGTACTCTAGGCATCGTAACCGATCGTAAAGGATGTCAAGAACCAAAATCCGCCAACGTTTATTCTTTACTGCGGCTGAAATATTCATTTTTAGAGCGTTAGTGAATTAAAAAAAAGCAGTATAAAACCGGAATGTCCAACTGATAAGGCTGAAAATTTTTTCACTTGTTATTTACAGTAAGATAAATACATTCACCAACTTTTATTAAAATAAAACCATATAAACTGGGTGTTCGGATTTATATGTCACTTAGTATAGATTGACGATAATAGAAACACCATATGTTCGTATATGAGAAATCCAACAGGTACTGGTAAGCTAACAAAAGTTTTTAAATATGACAGTACTCTTCTTTTACATATTTGTTCACTCACAGCAAAGTCAAAGAGATCGCTAACTTCGTTAAAGCATTTCGATACTCTACATGAAGAGGATGCTATCATAATATTTGTTGCAGTCTCTTGTAGATGAAACATAGTGTATTTGCCACTGTTCAACCTAGGCACAGAGAAGCTTAAGTTGGACAAAACAAGGACAGAGTCAATCTGATTGCTTAGCAACTTGTGCACAAAGGAGCAACGTAACAAAAATCTTCGGCGTTGAAGACTACAAACTAATCTGATGTACCTATTAAAGTCTACTTTAAGCTTTAAATAAATAAATCTTCAACACTACCGAAATGAAGCTCATGTATTTTACATCATTATAAAGGGAATTGAAAGGCCTTTAAAATAAGGTATCACTCGACCCCCCTTTCCATTTAAGATTTTAGGGTTGGTGTCACCCCTTCCCAGGGAACTGCACGTGTTAACGTGATTTTTTGCCAAACTTGTGTCCCCCTGGAAAACAAAATCGACTGGTCTGAGCGTTTTTCCAAAAAGAAAACTGAGCTGCCAGTAAATGCGTCTGTTTCCTTTTCGATGAGCCACCCTGTATATATTCATAAGGCAGCATCTCTAGAAGTTCTAAAAAACCACATACGGTCAAAATTGCCTCATAATTCTTCTTGAGGAAAGAAGAAACCTCGAATTGAAAACTCGAGTACACGTTCCTGATGACGTGAAAAAGTGGCAATGACAACATGCAATTTATTTTCAAATCCGATCTCAAATAAAGGATAAATATGATATTGCGATAATTCTTGTATAATATGAAACAAATGACTATCTGATAATTTAAAGGGCTACCCAGAAAAACATGTTTTTTTGAAATAACTAACGTTTGGCAGATTCAATGTATGTCATATAACACAATTTTGGAATCGGAATTAAAAATTCCATTCACCTGTTCAAAATCGAATATGGCGTCCTCAAGAAAAAATAAAGAGACGAAACGTCATATTAAAATTCTGATTGCAATATTGGTCTTCCTTCTGAGCACTAGGCAGTTAGACGTATGACGTTGAATCTTATTTAGGTCGGTAATATATTGTTTAGGGATATCCCCAAGCACGCTGGCCTTTATGTCACATTACCTAATTTGTACGGAAATACATACACGCAAGCAAACAAAATTAGTATATTGAGGATATACTTACAGCACACAATATGAAAATGTAGAATTTATTCTACGTTGTAATAAGGTATACTAAGTGACATATAAATCCGAACACCCAGTTTAAATGGTTTTTATTTTAACAAAACTTGGTGAATGTATTTATCTTACTGTAAATAACAAGTGAAAAAATTTTTCAGCCTTATCAGTTGGACATTCCGGTTTTTATACTGCTTTTTTTTAATTCACTAACGCTCTAAAAATGAATATTTCAGCCGCAGTAAAGAATCAACGTTGGCGGATTTTGGTTCTTGACATCCTTTACGATCGGTTACGATGCCTAGAGTACGGAGACCTGTACGATTTCGTCAACTTAGTGAGTTTGATAGGGGCCGTATAGTGGGACTTCGGGAAGCTGGACTTTCTTTTCGGGCAATTGCAGTTAGAGTGCAAAGAAGTGTAGACAGTGTGGTTAGGTGTTGTCAGGCATGGCTTCGAGAACGCCGTACGCAAAGAGCAAGGGGCACGCCTTGAGTGGTGCAGACAACGGTCACTCTGGGATCAGAAATGGAACAGTATTGTCTTTAGCGACGAGTCTCGATTTTGTTTAGGCATGCACGATGGTCGTGCCAGGGTTAGAAGGCGACGTGGTGAAAGGAGGAATCCACAGTTTTTTGTTGAAAGACATGTTCATCACACTGTTGGAGTTATGGTTTGGGGTGCTATAGCTTATGGTTCCAGGTCACCTTTAATCTTCATCAGAGGTAACATGAACGCGCAGCGTTATATCCACGAAGTTCTAGAACCCCATCTTTTACCCTATCTTGACACCCTGGAAGATCCAACTTTCCAACAAGGTAATGCCCGACCACATGTTGC